AGCTAGTTGGGAGTATACCACCAGAATTTGGTTCCCTGAGGAACCTTAAATCCCTCGCAATTCGCGACAATAACCTAACAGGAAATATCCCTCCTTCCATGGGGAATTTTACTTCCCTGAGTCTCCTATCTGCGGCTGCAAATCATTTGGAGGGAAAAATTCCCGAAGTATTAGGTCAGTTGAAAAGGTTAAAAGGCATTGGACTTGGCGATAACAGACTAAATGGTAACATCCCCGTTTCTGTCTATAATCTTTCTCAACTGGAGGGTCTGTCTCTGCCAAGCAATCAGCTACATGGAACTCTTCCTTCAGCATTAGGTCTCATGCTTCCTCAGCTTGAGTATCTCCAGTTGAGAGACAATCAGTTCTCGGGGATACTTCCAGCCTCTTTGTCAAATGCCTCTGAGCTAGGCTGGATTGACATTGGAAACAATGGATTCAGCGGCAGAATAACAGTTGATTTTGGAGGCCTGCAAAATTTTGGTTTGCTATTTGCATTAGATAATAATTTTGGAAGTGGGGATGTACTGGATGGATTGCAGTTTCTCAGTACCATGACAAACTGCAGCCAATTACTTGCAATTGACCTGGGTGGCAACCAACTAAAGGGGATCTTGCCCAACAGTATCGGTAACTTATCATCCCAATACTTGTTACTTGGTGGAAACCAAATATACGGAGAAATTCCTTCAACGGTAGGTAATCTCATCAGCTTAACGACTTTATTTCTTGACAGTAATCAACTCACAGGGACGGTTCCTAGTACAATTGGTTATCTTCATAAAGTCCAGCGGCTGTCTCTTCATTCCAATAAATTGTCAGGAGAAATTCCAGAGTCTGTAGGAAACCTCTCACTGTTGAATGAACTATATTTAGCTGATAACCACCTGGGGGGATCCATTCCACCAGCTCTTGGAAACTGCAAGCAGTTGTTACTCCTAGGACTTTCTCAAAACAACTTGAGTGGTACGATACCAAAAGAGATTTTTGGGATTTCTTCCCTGTCCATTTCATTAGATCTTTCTCAGAACAGTTTATCTGGAACAATCCCATCGAAGGTTGGCACCTTGAAAAATTTAGCTGGATTGGATCTCTCACAAAATCACCTGTCAGGTGAACTTCCTGGGACCTTTGGTGGTTGTAGTAGCCTTGAAATCCTTTCCCTTGCTGGTAACTCTTTCCAGGGATCTTTTCCAGAATTTATCAGTTCTTTGAAAGGTATTCAAAATCTTAACCTTTCTAGTAACAATTTTTCTGGACCAATCCCCCAATTTTTAGTAAGAATGTCCATAAAGGCCCTGAATTTGTCCTTCAATGATTTCTCGGGTGAGGTGCCAAGACAAGGTATTTTTGGAAATGCCAGTGCAGTATCAGTTGTTGGGAACAGGAGACTCTGTGGAGGCATTCCTGAACTACAGCTGCCAAAGTGCCACCCTCTAGGAGAGTCAAAGAAAAATATGAAGCCTCTCAGGTTCATCATGCCGGTGGTAATTACAAGTTCATTCCTGGTGATAGTGGTAATCTCAATCTCAATTTTCCGACTACGGTCATTTAAAAGGAGAAGGACCCAACCAAAGTCACCAAACTTCTCAGGTAGACTCTTCCTGAGAGTCAGCTACAGACAGCTTGTTCAAGCTACTAATGGTTTCTCTGCAGAAAATCTAATTGGTACTGGTAGCTCTGGCTCCGTATACAAAGGAGTGCTGACTGAAGGAGGAAACTTGTCCGTGGCTATCAAAGTCTTTAACCTTCAACACCATGGAGCCTTCAAGAGTTTTATTGCTGAGTGTGATGCAATGAGAAACATCCGGCATCGGAACCTCGTGAAGATTATAAGTTCTTCCTCAGGTCTGGATTTCCAAGGGAATGATTTTAAAGCTTTAATCTACGAGTTCATGCCCAACGGCAGTCTAGAAACTCGGTTGCATCGAACAGATGAACATCAGCAGCACATTTTTCCTATACCAAACCTTCTTCAGAGAATTAATGTTGCTATTGATGTGGCTTGTGCCGTTGATTATCTACATCACCATTGCCACAAGCAGATTGTTCATTGCGATCTAAAACCAAGTAATGTTCTACTGAACAGCGATCTGGCAGCCCATGTTGGAGATCTTGGGCTGGCAAAATATGTTCATTCAGCTCCAAATTTACAGGAAACGAGCTCTGCTGGAATCAGAGGAACTATTGGATATGTAGCTCCAGGTAAGAAAGTACAAATCTGACTGATTTTTTTAAATTAATCTTTCTTACCTATGTTCATTCAACATCGTATACAAAACAACAAATTTTAAAACTGAGCTATTTTTGACAATTCATACTTTGGCTGTCTGACAAGCTTCAACATTAATGCAGAGTATGGCTTAGGTGCCGTGGTATCAAGTAATGGAGATGTCTACAGCTTCGGAATCCTATTGCTGGAGATGATGACAGGGAAGAAGCCCACACATCCTTTGTTCACTGGAGGCCTTGATCTTCATACATATGTTGAAATGGCAATTCCTGAGCGCGTGATGGACATTGTGGATCCAGTACTTCTGTGTGAAGATCACAGAAGAACTACAGCAGCCAATAACAGAAGCAGTCCACTAGGAGAAACAAAATGCAATTTACTAGAGCAGTGTTTGATTTCATTGCTTAAAGTTGGCTTGGCTTGCTCCATGCACTTGCCAGAAGATAGAATAAATATGACGCAAGTTGTTTGCAGATTAAAATCTATCAAGGACAAATTTACCATGGCAGAGCTTTAAAATAGCTCGAATAAACAGAAAAACCATGGAAATTCATAGTGTACTCAAAGGTTTGTATTATGATCCACGAATCTCTCATTTTAATGTAAATGAACTTTTACTCTTCTTGGCTTTACACATTTGATTTGATCAAATCCCCCCAATTTACTCTCCACATTGCAGTTAATCAAGTCAATTTAACACTAGCCTTTTCGCACATTCTCGAATGAGTTGAAAGTAAATTGTTCAATTCACCTTAATGCTTAAATAACAGTTTCTTGTTTCGGATCAACTCAAGTTAATAATGTTTATATGTTGTCAGTGTGTGGCAGTGAACTAATTAACTTCAGGTGTGACAATCTTTAAGCAGCAATGACTGACCTTTTGCTTAATGATCTGAGGAACATTGAATTACAAGAAGGTTGTTTTTGTTTTGTTTTGGGAGAGGGGGGGGCGGGGGTAAGAGATTTCAGTCTTTCATCTTGCTATTGCATTATGATCCAATCCATATAGTATGAGCCTTTGAAAAATGTTGGACATTGGGTTAAGATTCAGCTATAATTGATGGTTTTCTGTAGCAGTAGTAGAATGGGATGCATAACAATGGTGAAAATCAGCAGAAAAAGGCTTAGCATGGGCTCAAGATGAAGTTGGATCAAGCTCTAAGTTTCCAGATTAAATCCATACGTGTATAACCAGATGTTCAGGGAAAAGAAGAAAGAAAGAAAGAAAAATGCCGGGGTGTTTGGATAGGAATTATTTGTCAAAAAATTGTTTGCTTGCATCGCAAACACATTTTTCAACATACTATATTTTCTTTATCTTTTCAATCATTTTTTTATCTTACATACATCGCATTGCAAAAATACTATAGTTATTATTTTGACTACTAGTTTTTGCATCTGAATTCATTCTGTATTGTCTAATGTGACATAAGTCATTTTGTGTGGAAAAAAATTATAGAATGATTAACAAAAAAGAGTACCATGTAAAACTTTTTAGTAAAATTGTTATCAAAGTTTTTAACTGTCCACGGAATGCATAAGGGATGTATAACCATATTTCTATATGACCTTCACTTATTAATGTTCATAACTTGAGGAGGAATATTTTGGATAATAACAAAGTTTTGAATTTATTTAATTTGATGATTTTTTTAATAGAAGTGGAATATTTTGGAAATTTATTTCTTGATTTCTCAAAAAACAAAGAAAATAAAATTTCAGCACTAAAAATATGGATGATAGGAGAAGTTTGGGCAGTATGAAGAAGAATGGATAAAAATAAGAAATTGGAACCCTTTTTTTTAAAGGCAAAAAGTTGATGTGGCCTAGGCCAGGGAAAAAAGTGCAATAAAGATAATGTAGGGGAAAAAAATTCAAATCACTCTAAACATTAAGAGGTTTAGTGCATTTAACCGTAGTTTGAGAGGGGTTCACTTCATCCCAGAATTAATCTCAAAACTTTGACCCTTTCAATTTTTTTTTTAATCCCAATAGTGGAATGGTAGAATTTAAGAAGTCGAAAAGGGTAGAATTTAAGAAGTCGAAAGGAATAAGGCAAAAGATTCAAAACTAGGAATGACAACCATGGGGGCTAATAGGATGGGGGGTGAGGCGGACTCCCTTGATCCGCCACTCGTTAGAATATATATATATATTTATTTATTTATTTATTTATTTATTTATATGTATATATGTAATATTTAATTTAATTAGTTACAAACTTATAATAATATTATTATTATTTATAATTATTATATAATGTATATATATATATATGTATATGTGTAATATTTAATTTAATTAGTTACAAACTTATAATAATATTATTATTACTTATAGTTGTTATACAATGTATATTAGTATATGTAATGTAATTGATATTATCAATTATACTAGTAATCAACTACATGGAAGTCTTCCTTCAGCATTAGGTTTCATGCTTCCTCATCTTGACTATCTCCAGTTGAGAGACAATCAGCTCACAGGGTTACATCCAGCTTCACTGTCGAATGCCACTGAGCTAGGCTGGATTGACATTGGAAACAATGGATTCAGATAGCAGTTGATTTTGGAAGTCTGCACAATTTTAAAACACAAGCGGCATCCAGTAATAATTTCGGGAGTGAGGAAGTAAGGGATGGGATGCAGTTTCTGAGTACCATGACAAACTGCAGCAATTTTGGTTGCAGTGAGCCTACAGAACAACCAAATAAAGGGAGTCTTGCCCAAAAGGACCGGCAACTTATCATCCCGATTCTTGTACTATATGGCACTTGGCGGAAATCAAATATATGGAGGGATACCTTCAACATTAGGTAATCTCATTGGCATAGAGACTTTGTATCTTGAAAGGAATCAACTCACAGGCACAATCCCAAGTACATTTGGTAATCTTCAAAAGCTTCAGCAGCTGGCTCCTATTTCCAACAAATTGTCAGGAGAAATTCCGGAGTCTTTAGGAAACCTCTCATTGCTGAATGAACTATATTTAGATGATAACAACTTGGAGGGAACCATACCACCAGCTCTTGGAAATTGCCAGCAGTTGTTACTCTTAGGACTTTCTCAAAACAACTTCAGTGGTTTGATACCAAAAGAGATTTTTGGGATATCTTCCCTGTCCATTTCATTAGATCTTTCTCAGAATCATTTATCTGGAACCATACCATCAGAGGTTGGCAACTTGAAAAATTTAGCTGGATTGGATTTTTCAGAAAACCACCTGTCAGGTGAAATTCCTGGGACCTTTGGTGGTTGTAGTAGCCTTGAAATCCTTTCCCTTGCTGGTAACTCTTTCCAGGGATCTTTTCCAGAATTTATCAGTTCTTTGAAAGGTATTCAAAATCTTAACCTTTCTAGTAACAATTTTTCTGGACCAATCCCCCAATTTTTAGTAAGAATGTCCATAAAGTCCCTGAATTTGTCCTTCAATGATTTTGTGGGCGAGTTCCCAACACAAGGCATTTTTGGAAATGCTAGTGCTATATCAGTTGTTGGGAACAAAAGACTCTGTGGAGGCATTCCCCAACTACAGCTACCAAAGTGTCAGCCCCTAAGAGAGTCAAAGAAAAATAAGAAGCTTCTCGGGGTCCTCATACCAGTCGTATCTACAACTACGATTCTGTTCATTGGAGTAATCACAATCTCAATTTTCCTAATACAGTTGCCATCGAAGAAGAGAATGATAAAACCAAACTTATCAGGAAGATTATTCCTGGAAGTCAACTACAGACAGCTTTTCCATGCCACTAATGGTTTCTCTGAAGAGAATCTAATTGGCGTTGGTAGCACTGGCTCTGTATACAAAGGAACACTGACTGAAGCTGGAAACTTAGCAGTGGCAATCAAAGTCTTTAACCTTTTCCACCATGGAGCCTTGAAGAGTTTTAGTGCTGAGTGTGAAGCAATGAGAAACATCCAGCATCGAAACCTTGTGAAGATTGTAAGTTTTTCCACTAGTCTGGATTTCCAAGGGAATGAATTTAGAGCTTTAATCTATGAGTTCATGCCTAATGGGAGTCTAGAAAAATGGTTGCATCCAACAGAAGAAGATCAGCAGAAGATGTTTCATAGACTGAACCTTCTTCAAAGAATTAATGTTGTTATTGATGTGGCTTGTGCCCTCGATTACCTACATCATCATTGCCACAGGCAGATTGCTTATTGCGATCTTAAACCAAGCAATATTCTTCTTGACAGTGATCTCCTAGCCCATGTTGGAGATTTTGGGCTCGCAAAGTATCTTCATTCACCTCCCAGTTCATTAGAAAGCAGCTCTGTTGGAATCACAGGAACTATAGGATATGTGGCTCCAGGAAACAAAGAACACATATATTTGATTCTTTATTGTTTGTATATATAATTATGCAACATCATATAAAAAACACGAAAATTTTCCCTTGATACACAAGTTATTTTTGACATTTTTTGTTGCCTGAAAAGCTTCAACATTAATGCAGAGTACGGCTTAGATGCCGAGGTATCAAGTAGTGGAGATGTCTACAGCTTTGGGATCCTAATGCTGGAGATGATGACAGGGAAGAAGCCCACGCATCCTTTGTTCGCCGGAGGCCTTGATCTTCATAGATACGTTGAAATGGCAACTCCTGAGCATGTGATGGATATTGTAGATCCAGTACTTCTTTGCGAAGACTACAAAAGGGCTACAGCAGCCAATAGCATATGCATTTCACTAGGAGAAACAAAAAGCAGTTTACCAGAGCAGTGTTTGATTTCATTGCTTAAAGTTGGCTTGGCTTGCTCCATCCACTTGCCAGAAGATAGAATAAATATGACGCAAGTTGTTTGCAGATTAAAATCTATCAAGGACACGTTTACCATGGCAGAGCTTTAAAATAGCTCGAATAAACAGAAAAACCTTGGAAATTCATAGCGTACTCAAAGGTTTGTATTATGATCCTCATTAGAAAGCCTGAAAAGAGCCTATTTTTTTTAATCTCTCATTTTGATGTAAATGAACTTTTACTCTTCTTGGCTTTACATTTGATTTGATCAAATCCCCCAATTTTCACCACATTGCATTTAACACTAGCCTTTTCGCACATGTATATGAATGTGAATTTGGTTGACTACTAGTTTTTGCATCTGAATTCATTCTGTATTGTCTAATGTGACATAAGTCGTTTCGTGTGGAAAAAAACTATAGAATGATTAACGAAAAAGAGTAAATCTTATTTTTAAAATTGTTATCAAAGTTTTTAACTGTCCACGGAATGCATATAAGGGATGTATTACCATATTTCTATATTACCTTCACTTATTAATGTTCATAACCTGAGGAGGAATATTTTGGATAATAACAAAGTTTTGAATTTATTTAATTTGGTGATTTTTCTAATAGAAGTGGAATATTTTGGAAATTTATTTCTTGATTTCTCAAAAAAAATAAAATAAAATAAAATTTCAGCACTAAAAGTATGGATGATAGGAGAAGTTTGGGCAGTATGAACAAGAATGCATAGAAATAAGAAATTGGAACCCTTTTTTTTTAAGGAAAAAAGTTGATGTGGCTTAGGGGAGGGAAAAAAGTGCAATAAAGATAATGTCAGGGGAAAAAATTCAAATCACCCTAAACATTAAGAGGTCTAGTGCATTTAACCCTAGTTTGAGAGAGGCCTGCCTTTCACTTCATCCCAGAATTAATCTCAAAACTTTGACCCTTTCATTTTTTTTTTTTAATCCCCATAGTGGAAGGATGGAATTTAAGACATCGAAAAGAATAAGGGAAGGATTTAAACTCAAAACCTCTGCGATCTCAAGCCTCCTCAATCTTTTACATGACACTGTATTGGAGGCATACGTGTAGATAATTAAAATCTAAAATCTTTTATCGGGGTTGCCACATTTGGTCATTTCAATTCCAACATGTTTTTTTTTAAGGATTTCAAAAATAATAAATTTTTTTCCTATAACAGTATATCAAAAACTTACCCCCTTCTTATAATTTTCGAATCCGTCTCTGCCCTTTTTCCAATTTTCCCAATAATTTATGATCTGGTTGCAACAAAACATCATCGTCTCAACTTTTGGTGAAGTGACATTGTTCAAGTGGACTAGTCTCAAGAAACCTATTGGGATTAATATACATATGTGTGTATATATATAGGTAGATTGATCAAAACCCCTACCTAAACTCTTCACCATGATGTAGCTTTGTAATCAATCGCCAGTCCTATGATGTTAATAGTTAACAGTCCTAATCACCACCATTTTTTCTTGATGATTCAAACATACAAATTGAGATGATCAAATAATCAAATTACAGGAAAAATTACAAGATTTTGGATTTATCTAATACAACCAGGACGAATTCATGTGAAAGATGTAAAGAAAATGTTTGGATAGGAGATTGTTAGAAAATATTATTTGGAATAACACTAGCGTTTTTTATGGTGTAATGTATGTGAAATTAAAAGACAGTTAAGAATATTAAGAAAAAAAGTAGTTAGAAGATGTGTTTGCGAGACTAACTAACTATATATATATATATATATATATATATATATATATATATATTGTTTGTGATATATATTTAGGTAGAAACTTGTAGTATTGTTTGTGATACAAACAATATGTAAAATATCTCGGATATTATGTAGAAACCCATAATATTTAACAACATTTCTATTTAAAGTGTTCAAGACTAGCCAAATTTAATGGAGTTCAACTGTATATTTTGTTCTTTTACTTAAGCATGAGACTATTAGTTTTGTTCAAGCAATAAGCTTTAATTGGTGTTGGTAGCACTGGCTCAGTATATAAAGGGACACTGACTGAAGCTGGAAACTTAGCAGTGGCAATCAAAGTCTTTAACCTTTTCCACCATGGAGCTTTTAAAGAGTTTTAGTGCTGAGTGTGAAGCAATGAGAAACATCCGGCATCGAAACCTTGTGAAGATTGTCAGTTCTTCCTCTGGTCTGGATTTCCAAGGGAATGAATTTAGAGCTTTAATCTGTGAGTTCATGCCTAATGGGAGTCTAGAAAAATGGTTGCATCCAACAGAAGATGTAGGAAACAAACCCACAGGATAAAATAATATAAGCGAATCACACACTCAAAGGAATAACTTGGCAGCGGAATGTTTATAACAAACGGAACAGCTAAAGAAAGAAACAAAAGGTGACAAAAGCTTCAGGAGGCAAACTTCTCAAATTGTTTCCAATTCTCGGCTACTTTACATATGACACACGCATCCAGGGACGGAGCCAGAAATTTATTTTTGGGGGGGCTGAAGTGTATTAAAAATTTTTTTGTGTGACGAAATAAATATATTTAATAAGTAAAATTTAGAATCAATAATTATAAAAATAATAAAAACATATAATTATACATACCCAAAAATTTGTTATTGATTAACACTTGAAGTATTGGTAGTTGTTGCACTCGAATAACGAAGAGGAGGCAATTGCATTCTGCGAGTCTTCATCCGTTGAAAACGCTGCAATATTTGCTCATTTTCAATTGTTGCAAAAATATTCGCTTTTTTGTGAGTCAAAATATATTTAGTCCTGCTAGTTTCATTTTACCTTTACTCTTAACTGAGCTTAAAGTTGGAAAAGTCAATTGCGGAATGGAACCTTGGAGGTCCATTTGCAATACAATTTTCTCTTTTCAAAATTTTTATAAAAGAAATGCAGTTTTAATCTAAATCTGCTTTCTGAGAAACACTTTTTAAGCTGCTTTGAAAAAGCTAAAGCATATGAGAAACAGCTCCTTAGCCTTAGCTCAATAAACATGTATTAGCAGAAATGCTTTAGTAATGCTCTCAGCTGGCACTCTCATTCACTCTTGTATGGGCTCCTGTTGTGCAGAAAATATATATTAAATGGGATTTAGAATCAGACAGTTCCAGGAGGATTTGGATTGGGGTATTAATGTCATCTTTAGAATTAGATACTTTAGCTAAATTGCATTAATGTCCTTGAACTAAAACTAATTTGCAAACAAAGGTCCTCCAATGGACAGGTCGTACCCATCCATCATCTACCATCAACAACGGTCCAAAGAACAAAGTTAGTAATCGATGTAAAGATCACCTGACTCCAAATAAACCCCCAAAGAAAGATATTTCCATAAACCCCAAAGAAAGATATCATCTGATCGCATAGATAGTGGGCTGGGCTGGGCTGGCCGCCGGAATCCCCTGTATTAGGGGGTTTTCCGGCGGCTTGGGGGGGGGCTTAAGCCCCCACCAGCCCCCCCTTAAATCCGTGGCTGCACGCATCAGACTAGTACTACACATATGTATATATAAGCACCAAGTCTCCATGATCAGAGACCACATTAGAATTGGAAATCAAGCATCCTAGTTAGACTTGAACTCAATTAGCTAGACGTAGCCCTGAACTATACTAATTCCAACCAACTCCAACTAACAAATAATAATCTTGATTTAATTCCTACATTGCCTCCCTTAAATCAAGATCTTCAAATTTCACCATGCCGAGCATCTTCTTCAATTTCATGAATATCTCCAATTTGAGCGGCTTTGTCAAAATATCAGCTACTTGATCTTCACTCCTACAATAATCAATGGCAATTTCTTGCTCTTGAACTAACTCACGAATAAAATGATACTTGATGTCAATATGCTTGCTGCGTCCATGAAAAACTGGATTTTTTGTCAACTCAATAGCAGACAAACTATCACAAAGTATTATGGTAGGACCATCTTGCTTGTGTTGTAAAAATCCAAGCATTTTCCGCAACCAAAGTGCTTGAGTAGCACTACTTGTGGCCGCCATGTACTCCGCTTCTGCTGTGGACAAAGCAACCACCTGTTGTTTCTTTGAGGACCAAGAAAATACACCAGATCCCAAGTAAAATGCATAACCAGAAGTGCTTCTCCTTTGTATTGTGTCACCAGCCCAATCACTATCAGTGTATCCAACAAGGTTGTTATCATATGAAGATGAATAAAATATACCGTCAGATTATGTACCTTGAACGTATCTCAAAATTCTCTTAGCAGCTTGCAAGTGAGACTGGCGTGGAGACTCCATGAATCTACTAATCAAACCAACTCCATAAGTGATGTCAGGTCTCGTAGAAGTTAAATATCTGAGACTCCCCACCAACCTCCTAAAATAAGTAGCATCAACAAAATCACCAGTACCATCTTTGGTTAATTTCAAGTTTTCCTCAACCGGTGTCATCATTGATTTAGCCACATCCATCTTAAACTTCTTCAGAATATCACTTGCATACTTCCTTTGTGAGATAAAAATTCCATCATCCAACTGATGAACCTCAATACCAAGAAAATAAGACATCAATCCCAAATCTGTCATCTCAAATTGACTAATCATGGCCTCCGTGAATTCAGAAATTAGTTTGGGATTGTTGCCTGTGAATATCAAGTCATCCACATACAAGCATACAATAAGGACATCTCCTTCAAGGTTGAATTTGATGTATAAAGTGTGCTCATATGGACATCTCAGAAAACCATGCTCAACAAAATAAGTATCAATGCGAGTGTACCAAGCTCTAGGAGCTTGTTTCAAACCATATAATGCCTTTTTCAATCTATATACTTTGTCTTCTTGACCCTTTCTAACATAACCTGCAGGCTGCTCAACATATACCTCTTCTTCAAGAAAACCATTTAAAAATGCGGATTTCACATCCATTTGATGAATTTTCCAGCAATTATTTGCAGCAAGTGACACAATCATACGAACAGTATCAAGTCTGGCAACTGGTGCAAAAATTTCAAAATAATCAATACCTGCCTTCTGCTTATAGCCTTTGACAACCAATCTCGCTTTGAACCGATCCACCTCTCCTGTTGGCTTATACTTGGTCTTATATACCCATTTCACTCCAATTGAC